GGTCATATGAGCGCCAAATAAGGACTCTGAATAATCTGACGATTTTGATAGAGCTGAGAAAACATTTGGTTTCTAGCGTCATGGCCTTAGTAACTAAAAACAGCCAAACTGTTCGACAGAACTTTGTAATTCTAACGTAGCGGTAGAGTTCTTCTGTCTGGTTGACCTACTCTTTCCATGCACTAATTGACCGTTATTGCCTAGATGTGCCGAGTGTTTGGTACTTGTACCAGCACCATCAAAACTACCACGTCTTCTTCGGTACTTGTGTAAAGATAAGGACTCAGATAAGTTTTCAGCTCGGATTGACGTTATGTCCTTGGGAAAAGGCACTTTACTGTGTACCCGAATTTCCCATTTTGGATCGGTTCTTTCGGAGATGGACGTTTAACTCGGAGCCCCCCACCCTCCTTTTAAATGTAACCATATAGTGTTGATAGGGATGTCAAACCGAGACATTTTCACATATGTGATCAGCAGAGTTTTTCTGTCCGTCTGATTTAATCTTCCCATGCACTAAACGACCGTTATTGTTTCGATATGCTACGTCCTCGGTGCTTGGACCATCAAATCTGTTGTAGTTCGACAAGAGGTTCGATCCTCACTGACTTACATACATGTGCGACGTATTGTACTTAGATGAAAAGTGTCAGTGGCTTTACTTTCAGTGTTTAAGTAAAAGTTTACTGCACTTGCAACCCGATTAGGCCATATAAGTACTGAAGGTTAGAGGTGTTATAAGACAGTAACACTAAAACAGAAGGAGGAGTTTCTTTTATTTATTTTCTTGTTTTTGTCTGTCGCACTAACTCTTCCCGTGTTTTAAATGACCAAAGTTTTGTCCATATGCTTCCTTTTCCTCAAACAAACGAACAGAAAAATTCGTGTGGTGCACCCCTGTGTGTGAATCGTGATTCTTCTTTTTAATTGGCTCGGGTGTTGGTCGTGCCTGTATTTCAAAGGTTGGCGGATGTTTATATCTCAAATAAGGATGCTGTTGGTCGAGTTGTGACGTCAGCGGGTTCTGTATCTCAATAGCGTGGCACGAATACATGTAGGCCTATTAGTTGGCTTTGTTTATGACAGGGCTAGATTGGATAATCTGTGGTCTTATATCTCAAAATTATAACTCAAAATATATTTGTATAGTCGAGCAATGTTTTTGGCACACGGACGTAAGTCGTCTTTCTTATGAAAATACCACAAACAAACACACTGCAAAAGAACCCAACAATAAACAGAAAATAAACAAGCCAACAGCGACCGTGCTTCAACGTATAATCTTGGTACAATGGTGTAATATTATTCTGTAGAAACTGGACCCCCTCCCCCTCTCTCTCTCGCTCACCCCCCCTCTCTCTCTC